AATTTTTTTGTATCTCTGTGTTCAGGGTGGTGTGGAGGTTTTTGGCTGGTTTTGGTTAGGTTTGGGGTTGATGGAAGGCTTGGGGGATTTGGGTTATGGGATGTTATTATGTTTGGTTAGTGTTGTGTCTGGTATTAAGTTTTGCTGTGATAAGTGTGTCTCTCAGGTTAGTGTTGCGTTGGTAGGCTACAATTGGAGGTTCTTCCCATAGACTCCTCAGCTTTTGTGTAGTAGAAGGGTTTTGTCAGTTGGTTTAATGTACAGGTCTGATTCTAGTTTGTTGTTTTTGTTTTTGTAGATAGTTGTGTCAAGGAAGTTGACAGATTCCTCAGAGAAGGAAAAGTCAAATTTGATGTGGATGGGAATTGTTTATGTATTTAAGGAATTTTTCCAGTTTGTCAGTGCCATGTGTCCAAATTGCAAATATGTCATCTATAAATCTTATCCATTCAATAGGTATAAGATTTTCAGGAGCTTGTTGGAGGAGCTCCTGTTCAAGTGGTGCCATGAATATGTTTGCATAGGTAGGTGCCATTGGTGATCCCATAGCAGTGCCGTGAATTTGTAGAAGTGTTCGTTGTTAAAAGCAAAGGCGTTCTTCTTAAGTACAAGGGATAGGATGTCATGAACTAGTTTCTCCATTTTAGGGGTAATTGTGTTGATTTCTTTCAACATGTCTATACAGGCTTGGATGCCTTTGATCATTAGGTATGTTGGTATAGAGATCTCTTACATCAATAGTAATAAGTATGAACTTGTCTGGTAGTGTATTATTCTGAGCAAATATCCGGCATAGAAAGTCTGTAGTGTCCTGGACATATGATGGTATGTGTTGTAGGAGTGGTTTGAGTAGATGGTCAGCATATTGAGAAAGCTTGACTGTTGGTCCACCACAACCGGAGACAATAGGTCGACCTGGAATGTTAGTTTTGTGTATTTTGGGTAAAAGGTATAGTTGTGGTGTCCTGGCTTGATTGTCAGTTGTGAGATATTTAAATGTTGTGTTGTCAATGGCCTTAGATTTGTGGAGTTTGTGTGCTAGGGTTTTGGTTTCAGTTAGAATTTCAGGGGTCGGGTCATGTGTTAGTTTCTGGTAGTGTTTCTCATTATAAAGTTGTCTATATGCCTCAGTAAGACAATTTCTTCATTGTTGATGGATGATTGTTGACTTGTGATTCACTTTTCCATCTTTGTTTCTTCTTTGTCTTTGTCGTTTCTTCCATTTAACTGTTTAAATCTGGATGAGTCTCTGCACACTCTTTTACCATCAGTTATTCTTCTTGAAAATATTGTAGATCCCTTGATATCTGTAGTGATGTACATGTATGGTTCATACATAGTCTCTGTTTTTCTCTTCTCTCTTTTTAGAACAACTGCATTTCCAATTTGAAATTTGTGCCGTTTTGAATTATGTTGTTTATCATGATACAGCTTTACTTTCTTCTTGTAAGTAGTGTCAAACTCTCGTGTTTTTTTATCTTTCGGTGATAATTCTACAGGAAAGTGGTCCTATTTTGTTTGCACTTGTCTGTTCATCAATAATTCATACAGAGTAGCTTTAGCAGCTGGATGTGGTGTTGATCTGTACACTTGAAGCATATTGTAGGTTGCCTCATGTAGATCCAACCCCTCCTGAGATGCGATACTTGCTGTCTTATTCACAAGCTTATTAAACCTTTCAACTTGTCCTTGGGCTTTAGGATGTCTCGGTGTAATCTTCTTATGCTGAAACCCCGTCACCTCAGCAAATCGTTGGAAATCATTTGAATTGAATGAGGGTCCATTATCATTATCAACTCTCTTTGGTATTCCATATGTTGAAAATATCTTCTAAAGTGAATCGCCATTTTCGAACATTTTAAACCTCGCAAGGAACACGTACATCTCGCACATGCACAAACGTCTTTCCGCGGTGTTTGCAGCACTTGCAGCCCTTGCAACGCTTTGTTTGATTGACTAATTCATACGTATTTATGAACACAGACAAATGTTGGCATTTAATTGAATTAATTTAATTAACCCAATTGTAAGTTTTCGTGAAAGATTTTTGCAGTATGTCATGATTGCACCACTGTACTTCAAAAATCTGTCTTTTATGTCCTGTATGATATTGCCATCTTTTATTATCCGGACAAATTCATGACGGAACTAAACAATTTGTAAAGATTTATTTCAGTACAGATTCTTACAATACAACTTTTATCAAATTATTCGATGTTTATTTAATACTTGGATACTAAACAGTTTACAGGAGCACAGAAAAGTATAAGACGCAATTTTAAAATAATGGCTTGTGTTAAATAACCAACTTAATTGCCATGAAAGTATTGAAGCTGGCAAATATGAGAAAGATTGTTCAAAGCTACAATCAGTGACATAAATATTGGACCGCTTAGCCTGGAAAGGCAACATTTTCCCCCTCCCCCCCTTTTTCAATGTTGTATGCCGAAATAAAACCTTCACGGGGCAAGCCATTGCCTTGGATTTGTTTGCCAACATTTTTTTCACCAGAAAAAACAACATTGAAACGGGGGAGGGGGGTTACGAGTTAATTTTCTAAGATCACGTAAAAATGTACTCTGTCTATACAAGTGTCCCAAATTTTAATGTCACTGATTGTCTGAGTTTTTTGTGTGCCTTGCTTTTCAGTGGTAACTTGTTAGTAAAATTTCGATTGAATAGTGAGGTCCTATAAAATGCCACACTTTTTATTTAGTCATTGATTATCACATAAAGATGTGACTCGCAAAACTGTGCCCTTTAGCGTGTATTTTCTGGGTACTAACTCGAGATGATCGGTAACGCAAGTAAAAACGCATGCACTCTTTTGCATGGTTATTAAGTTAACACGCTGTGATGCTTTTCGACGGCCCTATGCCAAGTGTCTATTATATATATTTCCCATTGAATAGCACATCAATTATATACAAAGTGTCTGGTTACAATAAGTTATCAGTATACATAGCTACACTTGCGTATACATCGCACGCATATATTTCTTTGTTCAGAAACATATAAGTTGCTATACTTTCATTTCGCATGGATCTACTTAACTGCTATAACACAAGCAGTTCTTCATCTGATTCGGAAGAAAGCGAGCTAGGTCGGAGGGAAATTCGAAAGGTGTATTTGATCACATACAGTCAAGCCGACAAATCAAAAATTCCTACGAGGAAATTATTCGCCGAAGCGGTGTTAAAGGCATTCGATGGTGGTTCTGCCAAAGTCCTTCACTGGTGTTGCTCGCAAGAGTCGCACAAGAAGTCTGGAGTACATTATCACATGTGTTTGAAGTTAGATAGAAATCAGCGCTGGCTACGTGCAAAGAATTTCCTCCATGAACATTATCGCATTTCTGTCCATTTCTCGAGCGTTCATGCAAATTACTACACGGCTTGGAAGTATGTGACCAAAGAGGATAAGAACTCTGTTGAAAGTGAAGGGCATCCTGATTTGAACGACAGCGAAGGTCCGTCGACATCGAAAGCGCATATTGCAAATCGAACTCGGAGAATGCTACGTACGCATCAAAGTAATAGACAAACTGTACAACAGGACACTGGCACTACTCAATCCAGCGATGACGAAGACTCAAAAGAAAAGGGAACGAGAACATGTGTAAAGAAGCGAAAGCGCTTGAGTGCGTACGAAGTCGCCGAAATAGTTTTAAATAAAGGACTTCAAAATCGCACGGAACTTTTGGCCTTCTCCAGCCAGCAAAGAGAAGAAGGGAAGACCGATTTGGCTGAGTTTATTGTAAATCGTGGCAAAAAGGTGGTTAGTGAGGTAATTGCAACTGCTTGGGAGATTGAATCGGCACAGAAAACACAAGAAAGACGAGATAAAACCCGCATTGAATTACTTCAAGATGCCCGTCAACTTGGATGCACATGCGATACTTGTGATGAATGGCATTACTGTGCGTTGCAACTTTTAGCAAATAACAACATCTCTGTGGACAATTTTGCTAACTGCGTTAAAGATTTGTTAACGAAAGGCCGTGGGAAGTTCTGGAATATTATGTTGACAGGCCCGGCGAACTGCGGTAAAACGTTTCTCCTCAATCCGCTGAACAAAGTATTTCATACTTTCACCAATCCGGCATCTACAAGCTTTGCATGGGTGGGTGCTGAAAAATCCGAGGTCGTCTTCCTCAACGATTTCCGTTGGTCGCCACAGATAATCGCTTGGCATGATCTACTTCTCATGCTCGAAGGTCAGTTGGTCCATTTACCTGCGCCCAAGTGTCATTTCGCCCACAACATTGTGTTCGACAAAGACACGTCAAGTAAACACCAACTTGTCTACGTCAAAGGCGGCATTGTAGACGAAAGAGAGACAGAGATGATGGCCATAAGATGGAAACTGTTCAATTTCAACAGCATCCGCTCTACAGGATGCACTGTCTTGCTTTTCAAACCGAATTATATGAACAATCTAATTGGTAACGAGTAATCGGGGGAAGTCTAAATATAGCACAGCCACGCATGCATGTTAACCGTATACGTATCCACAAGTAACCGACTTTAGGCATTCAAATATTTTATATAAAATGCACAGTTATTTCGCACAAAGTAAACACAGCTTTCTAACGTTACACACACGTGCTGAATTTGATATTTGTTCACAAATTATATGCATCATGGTGCAAGTTACCACAAGTAACCACAAGTAACCATTGATGTAGATATGATTGACTTTATACCATTGTAGTTTTTAAACGGATGGTTACTTGTGGTTACTTGTGGTTACTTGCGGTTACTTGTTCAAACAATCTATCATTTTTAAGAGGACAAATGGTTACTTGGTATAAATATCGGTATTTGGCCCGTATACTAATAGATCTATATGAACTTTATATATAAGCATGCATGATATGCATACCGGTATACGCAATTTTTTATGACTGTTTTAATTAGGGTCGGCTAAGCACTATATGTAATACAACAGTAATGCATTGAGGAATTATAGCGGTCGGGACTTATATCTATAATCAGTAGCTAATATTTTGTTCGTTTTCCCTTAAGTTTAAGAATATCTTTAATTCTCCTTGGCATACTTGCAATTGTCTTATCTACATATTCTTGTGAGACAGACCAAATGTTCAGCTTAACTCTTTCGACAAATTCATCCCACGACTGGTGTATAATGTTCTTCTGCAAGATTTCTGCTTCCATTCTTTTTCGAACAATATGGAATAAATTTTCAATCGGATTCAAGTCAGGTGATCTGGCTGGAATAACTTGCATGTTAGCTCCAATAGATTTTAAAGCTTTTTTCGCAACAGCAGAGGTCTGTGAAGGATCATTATCCATTACAAATAATTTTGGTGTGGTATTATCGTTTTTTGTAATGTCAAATAGAATGGGGAAATGACGGCGTATAAAGCGTGCAAAATATGGGCCGTCCATCTTTACATATGGTTCTGCGCAAATAACACCGTGCCCGTGTGCCATAGCTACAAGCAAATGCAATCGTTTACCGCCAGCAAGTTCTTTACTGCCTTTGGTAGTTAATAGCAATCCTTCGCCTCTTTTCCGCCAAACACGGTTTTTCGGTTTGAGCACGTCACTCAGTGGATTGCTTTTGTAAACGAAGGAAACACCATCCAAATAGAAAGCTACATCTGATGTCCAATAATCCTCGTGTTTGGTTGCCATGGTTCGCGCAAATTTTCGTCGTATTTTTAAATCTTTATTCGTAAGAACACCTTTCTTTCGACTCTGATAATATCCATATCCTAGCCGTTTCACATACCGAAGAAATGTTCTGTAAGTCACGCTTGTTGGTGAAATGCCGCTACGTTGAACTACCTCCATAACTGTGAAGTTTGGACTTCTTTCGCGGAGTTGCATAATTGCTCTCTTCAGTTTACGTTCATCTCGTTGCGTTAATGTTCTTTTTCGACCTTGGCGAGACTTTTTTAACTTATTATCGCTACCTTTTTTCTTCATATCAAAGCTTTTAATGACTCTAAGCACACTTGACTTTGACATGTTTGTTTTTAAAGCAATTTCACGATAAGAATATTTGAATTCGCGCCTCAATAAGAGTGCTAAAGCTCGTTGCTCTGCGGTTGTCATGATTCATGTCATGTGTCGTTCATGTTTGTACGCGTTTAAATGAAAATATTGTTACGCAATATAATTAAAAATGGAATTTATTCAACGTATAATTAGCTTAATTGCTTCTTAATACTTGCTAAAAATTTCATTAAGTTACAATGCTTGGTTTTAAAGTTACAGTCTTTTAAGTGCCCGCGGATAACGCAATAAAATACTCGGACAATCAGTGACATAAATATTGGACCGCTTAGCCTGGAAAGGCAACATTTTCCCCCTCCCCCCCTTTTTCAATGTTGTATGCCGAAATAAAACCTTCACGGGGCAAGCCATTGCCTTGGATTTGTTTGCCAACATTTTTTTCACCAGAAAAAACAACATTGAAACGGGGGAGGGGGGTTACGAGTTAATTTTCTAAGATCACGTAAAAATGTACTCTGTCTATACAAGTGTCCCAAATTTTAATGTCACTGATTGTAGCTAAGTTGGCACTTATCCTGCAGGGTTAGAGCTACTGATTTTGTTTGAGTATTCCAACATTTATTTCTCTTCAACATTTCAAAATTTAAAATAGAAGTATAATGAAGGTTATATAAACGTTTTCAACTTAAAAGTTTAGCCAAACTAACATTACCCAATGAGACATGCTTGTGAACAATGGCGCACTTCCAATAGCCCTATACATAACATAAACATGAATTTTCTGCAGAAGCCTTCTCTTTTGAGAAATATCTTCCTTGCTATATTGAAGACTTACTCCGTTGACAGTGGTAAGAGGTTGATATCTTTGTATAATTTCCCTAAATGGAATGGATTTCGTTAATATTTCTGCTCTTCTGTGCTCGTAAGTTATTGCCATTAGCTGTTTTATTTTTCCAACATCTTGAGAGTGAGAGGGACTCCATTTCCATGGAAACAACAGGAATTTCATTCCAAAAATCACCCTTATTTGTTCTCTCTATGACCTGTGTTTCAGTTTTTAGAGTATTTGTTAACTTGGACTCCGAGGAAGCCACCAGCCTTCTTTTCTTGGCATCATACTTTCTCACATGCTTAAACCTCCTTTTTTGGCTTCTTCTCACGAGCTCTTCTTCTCTTCTTCTCTTCTTCTCCTTAAAAATAAAGCAATATTAGTTATTGTTAACTTCAAATGCTGATTGTAGCTCTAACAATAACACTAACACAAAGCACCAGGATTGAATGATTCTCAATACAGAGTTCAAAACATGGACAGTAGGAATCATATTTCATTTACTTAACCCATTACCTGGCAATGCTTCCAAATGCAATGTACTTCTTTTTTTTTCAAATCCCAGACGATTTTACTTGTCACACGCTTGGCATTTTTGCACGCTAAATTGAACAATTAGAATGTGCCGGGTTTTATTGGCGGCGTGCGACATTTTCTGAAGAGTGGTAATGAATTTGTCGAGCGGAGAATTCCTTATATTCGGCTATGTTTTTCCGGAGCGCTTTCTTCGTGAGGTGTTTGGGGGTATAATAGTGTTATAGAGGGTAACAAGAGGTTTATTTTGATATCAATATTGCTATGGTAACGGCAAATGTTTTGCTTCAAGCGAGCTTCTTGTCAGAGGCATTTGGCGCAAATGGCGTCGTGCGGAAATTAAGTTTCAACAACCGCATATTCGGCTTGTATAGCATTCTTTGTGTGAGGTTACTTTTGTACGTTTTTGGTATATTTTACAAGCCAAGGAACCAATCTAAAATCGTATGTTTTTTTTGTGACAAAAATGAGCTAGGAAACTCAGAATCATGGCTTTTAGAAAGGCATCTCATTCCCGTAGATTCAATGTTGGGGAACATATGCGCAACAAAAGACTTGCATGGCAAGCTGTGGAGACTAAGCAAAAAAAAGCAAAATGCGTATCCCAGAAGCTGAAACGTATAGATGATAAGATAAGAAACGTTTATGCGTTTGTTTTTATATATTTAACTTGTATATTTCGTGTTTGACTTGCCATCTTTCGTGTATATGATATGGACTTGCGGCTATAAACCTGATCGACTTAAATTTCCATACCGATTTTCTATATTTCTGGGCCATTTTGCCTTTTTAACTTAAGCCTATTGTATGTTAATACAATTGATAAATTTGTTATATGCATATATTTTCCTAGTTTGCTAAAATTTGTTGAAAACTTGACATTACTCCACATTGTGAGATGAACTCTCAAAAACCTAAATTTATGATCTTTAACTCACTGAGCTTCAATGCTACTAATATATGTTTTTTATTACCTGTTTAACCCAGATGATTTTAGTTGTCAGTTAGGAAGCCCTGCAGTGTAATGGTTCACTAAAAATTAGTCAATATTTATTGTATATTTCATATTTGTCAATATTTAACTCATTAGGCTTTAATGCAGTAAATGCACTCACATGCAGTGTATACCCTGCTTATCTAATGCCAGAATGATTGTACTTGTTCTACTGAGAAAGCTCTTTTTCAGCTTAGTGGTTAACTAAAAAATCTTACTAGTGCAACATCTAAGTGCAACATACTAAACAAATCCCACATGATTATATTTCTCAGTAAGGTTACTCTGTAGCTACATAGGAGTTAATTTATAATTAACAGAATCGAACATTTCTGAAAGATTAGATAAGGGCCTTTAGTGGGTTTACAAATTTGGATTTTAAAAAGGATTTGTGGCAACTTTTTAGCATATGAATATCTGGGCATGTCTTTGTCAACACCTAAATCTACATAACAATATCTCACAAATATATTAATATGCTTAATAGCTTGTGATTGTAAAATCAAAATATGCAAGGATAGCTCAAATAGTGTTATAAATTAATGGTCTTTGACATGTGAATTAATAATTGATGATTGATTGCAGAATTGAGATAAGTTTTAATGACTGGGAGTAATGTTTATCATGATTCATTCTATTTATGGCATGTGTCATACTCCAAATTGATGCATAAAACAAATACCCTGTCATGATTGTGATATTGTTTCTTATTAATGTCCAATATATTTTATTAATATATTTGACTATGTAAACATACACAATTGTGTATATGAAGAATTTTACTATAAAGCAGAAATATTTAGCACTGTTATTAGTTTTGATTATTGTTCTGATTAGTTGCTGTCTCAAATGTATTTACAATATAACAACACTTTATAAGTGGGCTTTAACCAAATAATGTACAAATGTATAATATACAGTAACATACTAACTGTGTATGTAAGCACACTGGAATATGCTAATACATCTTAATAACAACTCTGAACAATGTCGGCCGCACAACATTGATCAATCCTGTTCATACAATATTGCATCAACCTGATCGTTTTTAAGCGTGCACTGGTTACTATAATAGTTTGACAAAGTATTGAGATCAGTACTATTAGTTTTGAATAGTGTTCTGGTTACTTGCAATGTCTTAACCTAAATGTATTTACAATAGAACAACAAATATGAACAGTAACACTTTACATAACTGTGTATGTTAAACACACAGGAATATGCTATGCATATTTTTCATACATCTTGATTATTAGTGTATTATTTTGTAATTTTTACATGAAGTATGTATGTTTGATTTCTATTTTTAAAATAGATATATTAAGACGAAAACTTGTGTTGTAAACCCATACTCATTTGTATAAACTCTTCAAAGCTCCATGCACTCCACTAGTATTCAAGTATCCACTAGTATCCAAGGGTTAAAAATCTTAGTGCATTCTAGTTATATTTTTCTGAAAAAGTGCTGATGATTTTTCTTTTCAATGGAATCTTAGAGGACCATTGCAGCCTAATGATAGACAATGTCATGCAGTACCATTTAGTTGTTCATGCATGAAAATCAAAAAGAGGACTATCAATACATTTTAAATTTAATTATTGTTTTTTTATCTTAAAATGGTGGCAGAAGAAAATTGTTTTTTTCATCAAATTGTTGGGGGTGGCTGTGGCAAAAAAAACAAAATTGTGTTTGGTTCTTGAAATTATTTGAGTTGTTTGATTTACTATCTGGCAGCAGTTTGATTTTCTGACTGGAAAAGCAACTGGAAAACTAGTCATTAGAAGGGAAGTTCACATTCACTATATTAGTCTGCTGGTTTGCCTTCAAAATATTAGTACGTAAATCTATGATTTTGGAGGAAATATCCAGCTATATAAGGATTATTACTTTCTTATAGTTAAAAAGGAATATAGAGCTTTGAGATGGTTCTTAACAGTTGTGAAAACTTGAAACAGTTGTGAAAAAATTACTTGGCAGATTCTCCATGCATGCAAGTGCATAGCTTGAACTTGCTTAACACTTGCCCCAGTGACAGCCTCCGCATTACTACATTCACGCTCAACTGCCAAACTCTCAATTGCCTCCTGAACTTTTGTCAAAGAGTTTGACGGCTGTTCAACGGCGTTTTCGTTGACTCAACACTTCTTCCATTGAAAATCGCACATTTGAAACAGCCGCCATGTTTACTTAATCAAATATTCTTGGGCGGTACACCACTGACCCAAATGAACGTGGCGCAAACATTTTGAGGGTATACCGCATGCCATATTGAATGGCAAACTAGCGATTTCGCATGCAAAATACCAAGCGTGTCAATGAGGAAGCCCTGCCACTTAATGGGTTAAATCTATTAATCGGACAAGTTTGCCAAATGGGGATGGGGCTCAGTGCTATTGAGTAGGTGTCTATCTCAAATGCATCTTATTGCTTACATTGCACCGCAGTGTGCGATTAATAACAAATTGAACATATTATTTACTGCAATGCACAACTCATTCAGATGACTGTATTTCTATTTATATTTGATCCCCACTGAAATCTATGATGTCATATGAAACCCAAGAATACCCCTACATTCATGATCTCTCTACAGTATTTAGACACACAAATGTAAATTATAAAATCTGCAACACCAAACCACTGCCAATAGGGTCTTTTAAATGAGGGTACTAGCTCGCAAATTGCTGCTGCAACTTGGTTTCTCTCCGCCTTGTTGAGGCAATAAACTCCATTCGATGAAA